AAGTGTGAAATCATCAAATGAACACTCATAATAGTTTTTGCTGATGTTTCTATTTCTAATAATACTTCGAATGCACCATTGTTTATTATAAATCACCACGAACCACAAACCTGAGTCCTGCCTCTTCCGTTGTTGCTATGCTGACTCCCATGTATGTCCCAAGCTGTGAAGATAAAAGTAAGGGAAACATGGGTTAAGAATGTAAACATTTCTAGGAGTTGTTTTTGGTTTCAGGGTTGTTCAGAGAGAGAGAGGACAGCCTCACCACACCACGGCTCGTATTAGTCACAGTCCGAGAGAAGAGAATGTGGACCTTTTGCCCAATGAGGGAAAAGGTCGTTGGGAATGCAGTTTGTCAGGTCAGGACGAGCCGGGCCTGTGTAGCTTAAATCCATGTGACTGCCAGAAAGAAAATGAGGTGGAGAGAGGTGAACGTCAACTGGACATGAATACCAAACACAGGCAGACTTCATGTGCGTGTGCTGTTTACTTATTGTCATCATTCTACATAACTTATTGGATGTTCATTTTTATTTCAGTTACAGGTTACATGTGAATGCAGTCATAGATTTCCACAGAGACGCTATCTCCACTGTAACGGCAGAGTTAGGATCACTTTGGTGAGTCGAGTGAGGAGCACAGGGTCCATATAGCCAAGAGGAAAGGCAGCTTTCTTCTCTTCACACTTCGATTCACATTTGAATTGAGTTATCTGTATTGGTGGCTGTGACCTTTTTAAGATGAATTATCAAATGTCTAATTTACCTTTTCAGGTAGTGAGATAGAAGTGATTCACATCCATTTAAAGGTGTAAGGATTTAGTGGTATTAAGTGATTTAGTGACAAATGCTGAAGACCCTGTCTCTAGATCCAGTGTTTGGTTTGGCGATTCTGGGCTACTGTAGAAACATGGTGGTTCAACATGGCATACTCTATTGAAGAGGACCCAATCCCTCTGTAGATATCTCCAGAGCCACAGAAGACATTATACAACTGTTTTACAGGCTGTGTAGTCCTTCCCATTACTAGTAAATTGACGTATAAGGATACGATACAGCATGTAGTACAGAGATATTCATATATTAGTATGGTATTAATTTACTAATATAGTGTTGTGTTATTGTTCAATAGCATTCATCTTTACCATTTGATTCAAAGTGGATCCCAACCAAGAGGAACTGTCCCGCGTACTAGTCTGTAGCTCCAGGAGCTCTGTCAGTGTTTGTTCACACAGCCTGTTGTGTTTTCAGTCATGCAGTTATTCCTAAAAGGCAAAGTAGTTCATCACTAATGGCTCTGAATGACTGATGGCGTATTCATCCTGCAGTAATTGCTGATTAAAAACTTCTTTTGTTCTCAGTTGTTGATCACGTCGGGTCAATGAGAAGACATTAATTCACAAATATCGTTGAATGATTAAAAAAGACATTTACTCGAGCTCCGAGACATTGTGGTATTGGTTTTGGAATTTTTCCTTTCCTAGATCACATGCATCAAGGATTATGAAGTGTTTGGCTCCATTCCTGACATCAAATTTGACAAGCGTTATGCTTTTACACCATTAAAACTCCGCAGACTAAATGGTCCTCACTAACCAAGCTAGTGAATAGACTGAACAAAAACACTGTTTATCCAAAATGCAGCTTTTCCCACTTTGGAACAACTTTACTCATTCCTCTAGTCTACAGTCAAGCCAACACATTCTTAGTCCAATAAAATTGCTTGAGAAAAATTAGTACTTATATTGTTTGAAAGTACTCATGGTAATGCTCTATTCTAACTATATATGTATTGAGTACATCAATTTTGAAATATTACTGCAATTATCTTAAACAGAGTAGCAGCATCTGATAGATTCTATATAGCATTTTACATTGTGTGCCATGCCTTGTGATTGATGCTCATGATTTATAGATGTGACTGAACTTTTTGCCTTCTAAATGCTACAGGAATGCAAATTCATTGTTATTAAGTATCTTTCCTTACATTTGTTCTCATTCCTTTTTTTGGTTTGTATTCCTTATGTTCCAACACACCACAAATACATGGTGACAGAATGGCAAAAACATCCTCTTTGTGACAGAAAGCAGATGTGATTCTAATTTAGTGAAGTACACAATTTAACCAATAGTAGCTTTTAAAATAATGGCTTTTAAGTAAGCTAGGCATGATTCTGGTCATGTTTGTGTCTTTTAATCTTGGAAATGAACATTCATGTCATTATGGGGATGTTGATGCTTCCATTATTTCCACCACCTGCTGTGTATATATTGTGAAAATATATATGCACGTGTCAGAGAGATCAAGAGTCAGAAAGAAATAGTTCAGAATAACAAAACTACATTAAAAAAGTAGGATGAGAAGAATTGTAAGCCATCAGCAGGTGTTGCCATAAACTTGTCAGATCATTTGAGTCATGCTGGTTTGATTGCAGGTCACTCACTGGTTTGTGTGCTATTTGGTAGAACAGACCAAACAAGTCCCTGAGACTAGTTCAACCTGCCCTAGAACCACAACTCAAGGTATTACACACGAGCGCACTTATTTGTCAGACCTTAAGCAACTCTCTTTCAACATAGTCGTATATTACAGTGACTCCCATCCACAATATTTCAACTTTTGCTTCACAACTATGTAAATATATTCTTTCTCTGACCCTAGTCTCTCAGTGTTTGGCCATAGTGGATCAGATTCTAGGAAATTGTGCAACTCTGAGAGTTTCCACGTGCAGATTTTAGACCACAGAGTGGAGCCTACATCTAGGGCCTTGCCTTTTCCTCTCTTCCTTTCCCTGCTCCCTTGAGAGGTCAGAGTTGACAGGAGACATGGGTGGGTGGTGTCAGCCGTCTCCTTTGGGGATTCGGGGGTCCTCAGGGGTCTTGTGAGGTTGGGCAGCAGTTCCAAAGGGGAGGTCGGGAAGCAGCGATGGCAGAGAGAGAGGGGAGGAACAGCTCGCTGTTGTTCTACTTTGTTTGTTTTTTCACATGTCAGTGCTAAAGAGGGAGACGCAGGATGTGGATGGCTAGGGCTCTGCCGCCAAGAAGTGTGTGCATGTGTGTGTATATCCATAAGCAACTGGAACCATGTGGTACACCGCAAGGTCGACATATTTGAATTTTTAAATTGTGATTTAGCAGTATTTTGTATGTTTCTTCTCCGGAAATTCTTCGTTTTTGGTATGCAATTGTCAAGTTTAGATTTCATTCTGTGCCACTTTTCGAGCAAAATGTTGTTTTGGTGCACACTGGGTCCACAACTGGTTCAGAAGGGTCTGTAATGCTCAACATCATGTGTGAAACACTTGTGCTAAGGTTGTGAGAGTTCTGAAAACGTGTTGGGCGGTGCTCCCGGGGCTCCCCAATGATGTACCATGGTAAACAGCTCCCACTGCTTGCACAGCTGGGGCACACTTGACGGGCCTCTGCAGTGCATGTAGAGAGGGAGCAGGAAAGAGGGATGGGGAGGAGGCAGACAGAGAGAGAGGGAGGGCGGGAGGAGAAGGGGAGAGTGACTGGACCGATACAACAGAGGAATGCTGTGAGGGCCTTCAGGGCAGGATACAAACTGCAAAGAAGGACAAGCGAGTGCAGAGGAAACAAGAGCAGAAAACTGATTATAAATGACAAATCCCCAGCTCTTGCAACCAAACAGTGTTAGCTGCTGTATCCTGAGGGTTGGAAAATGCAACAGTAATAGCTCCGACTCCAATCCAATCTCCTGTATGTATTCCGTGTGTGTGTGTGTGTGTGTGTGTGTGTGTGTGTGTGTGTGTGTGTGTGTGTGTGTGTGTGTGTGTGTGTGTGTGTGTGTGTGTGTGTGTGTGTGTGTGTGTGTTGTGTGTGTGTGTGTGTGTGTGTGTGTGTGAGACTATGTTTGTGTATGTGGCCTCCCTAAATTCAGCAGACAGACACAGGAAATTTTGCCCCTCCCCTTCATCCTCTGCCCTGTGCTCGCTGCCTGGCGCTCATTGGCTGTAGGGAAAGCAAGGGATGAGGTTTTGTCGTCTAATCTGCCAGCAGATCGCCACTGATGGGCCTCTGTAGAATGGCTTTAGTAAATTACTGTTCCAGGGAAGGGCAAATCCCTTCTATCAGATAGCAGCTCTCTCTTCATCTCTCCCTCCATTCCAAGTCCCGCACTCTATTTCTCTTCTCTACATCAGCCAGGCTTTGACTTTATCTCTTTATGGCAACCTCCTCTTCTCTGTAACTGGTGGTTTCTACTTCTGTCTTTGTCTTTTTCCTTTGTTCTTTCTTTTTTTTGTAATTTAAATACCTCATGTTGTGCATCTATTTGTCTGTCTGCAGTAGACCTGATTCTCTCTGCCTTGGGGCCTCGCACCTGGAGTGAATGAGATGAGTTGGTGTCAGAAAGAGACGCTCTGTGGATTTTGCTCTAAGGCTACTCATCGACATCAGCACATCACAGAGTGTGTGTGTGTGTGTGTGTGTGTGTGTGTGTGTGTGTGTGTGTGTGTGTGTGTGTGTGTGTGTGTGTGTGTGTGTGTGTGTGTGTGTGTGTGTGTGTGTGTGTGTGTGTGTGTGTGTGTGTGTGTGTGTGTGTGTGAACACTTCCCTCTATCCCCTGGTGTGTCTGTGCATGTTAACAAGATGGACCAGTTTTGTGGGCGGCCATCTTGCCTTGCCCAGTCTGCAACCAACAAGAGATAATACAGCACATCCTGCCACAGTACCTGAAGACAACATTTGCGGATTAGAGGAAACTGGGTTTTTTTTGCATAATGGTTTTAGTTTTGCATACCTGTGTCACAAAAGATATAACTTGACCATGGCAGGAATAAAGAAGATTAGGAAGTGAGATAGCTTCCTGAGAAAGAAGGGAGTGTTTTTGTCTACATGAAACTCACTGTGTGTGTGTGTGTGTGTGTGTGTCTGTGTGTGTGTGTCTGTGCACGCACTTGCCTGAGGTGGGGAATGTTGCCCGGCATGGAAAGCCGAGTGGAGCCAAACTCCCAGTGACCTCCTGTGTTTTTGTTACAGCTACCTCCAACTCTTCCACAACTGCCTAAAACAACATTGTCGGTCTGCGCTGACATATGGCAGCCAGGCACGTCTCATGTCACACAACGCTGCTGTCGCCGTAACGATACTCCAGGGCCATAATTAACAGGTGGTGTATAGGAAGAGGCCACACATGCACACATTTCATTTAAAGTGTGTTTTTCTTGCTGTGCTGTTGTCTCACCAGACAAGATTTACAGCCAGCAGCCTACAGCAGAAATATCTGTTTGGTGTAGGCTGTTGTTGTTGTTTTAACGGTTTTATAATCAGTATGTTTGTTATATTCCAGTTTTGAGTCTCATGCTGGTTTTGATCATGTTCGATGATAAGACATTTAGGCGGAACATGATATACCCAGTTACAGATAACATGATGTCTGTTTGGTAATGCCGCTGCCTGGTCCGTGATGTTTTTGTTACACTCTGATAATAAGCAGACTGTTGAGCCTTTTTCTGGCCGGTGTGCCAATACTGATTCGAATGACAGGAGGACTCGTGTTTGTCGAGCCCCACCCTTCTTTATCGACTCTCTCCCCCTGCAGTCTGAAAGGAAGCATCTGCCTGCCCCTCTGCCTCCCCACTGCTCGCCACACATGCTCTCTCCCTTTTCTCTCTCCACAGCCCACACTGCTATCGCTGTGGCTGCTAGCTATCCAACTCGCACCGATGTCAGAGCCTCTAATCTCCCTAGCATAAAGGCCATGCAAAGGGAATTTATGTTAGCCTGCCACAGGAAGAAAAGGAGAAGCGGGGAATCGTTTGAGCAGGTTGACAGATAAGGCTCTTGTGCTTTCTGTGTGGTGCTTTTTAAGCCATGTTAAGCTGCTTAATTAGACATAATCTACAGACCCCAGACTGAGGCGGAACTAATGAAGTTAAAAGACTCAAATCCCATCCTACCATCACACTCTCCTCTACTCCACACCATCACTCGTGCCTCTCGTTCTCATCGCTACACTCTCCTCCCAGCTGCCTAGCATCACGCTCTCTCCTCCTCGCAGCACACTCTGCCCTCTCTTTCTCCTTACCATCCCACTCTTTCCTTTTAACACCATTAATGTCTTCCAGCACACCCAGACGTTCCATCCTGCCTACATTATAACCTTGAAACCTTACGGCAAACAGCCAGAACTAAATTATCATCAGCTAATCATTTCTACAATTTGCTCTGTGATCGTTTCTTCAGAGCAGTGAAATGTTCCTGCTAAACACCAGCATATCGCCAGAACAAGTGAAAGTGTCGCATGTTGAACTCCAGATAGCACATGACCAACATTTTACCCATAGTACCCCTAGTTTACGCTGTCTGCCTCTAGTCTTGGTGTTGATGAGTGTTTTGGGGCATATTGTCTGAGCAAAGGAAAGCCTTCAGAAAGTAATTTGGGGAAATATGCTTAGAGTCTGTTAAACATGAAGTTACAGCTTACAGCCAATTACTTAAGTTTAGCACAAAGACTAGAAACAGTTAGCCTTGCTCGGCCCAAAATGAAAACCAAAAATCATCCTACCAGCTCTAAAGCTCACCAATTAACACATTATAGCAAATGTGTTTAATCCGTACAGAAATTGCAGTGTGAAACCGACTACTACTACGTGATTTTACAGTTGGTTAAGGCGGAGGCTCTTATTGACTGGGAGCAGTGACTCTCTTGAGTCTGTGCTGGTTGCCAAGAAACCTCACAGTGATGACAAGATTACAAGAAGTCACTGCGCCCGGCCAAGGATTAATCCTGCACATTACTTCCCATAAAAAAAAGAATGACTTCAGTGCTTTATAATATAATGTTATGCTTAATGTGTAATGTGTATGAGTAATGCAGTGCTCATACCACAGTATACATGTAATACCAGTGATAATGTTAAAGGCAGTTTGAGAAAAGTTAGCTTTACAATGAAGGAATCTTGCACATCTAATGAGGGTCTTCTGAGGTAGGGCACTTTGTGATCATAGCCATGGTTGCTATGATCAAAAGTCAAAAGGCTGAAGCCAGACTGAGAACCTGGGGGAAGTTGTGAGTGAACAAGTTACTTGACAGAGTCTGTTGTATTTTAGCAGATTTCCATCTCTACAGCAGCTCTGCTTTTACACTCTTCCTTGCCCTTGTTCTTAAGCGTCTTCCTCTTGCAGTAAGAAGAGGATGTGTTTCTTATGGCAGTAGCACACTTCCCTTTCCTAATCCCACCATGGGGCAAAGCTCTGCCCTGGCCATGTGTATGAGTATTTTATCTTTAGGTGTGTTTCCAATGTTTTTTGCAAGCTCAAAATTCACTTTGTTCATGCTCCAGCTCTTGATGTGGCCCCCCTGTTGTTGCTCTGGCATGTTTACATATCTCTCCTATCTCTGCATCTTGCAGGACCAGCTTTTTTGTCGTGTTTTGAGTTTTCCCTGAAGCTGAACAGCAGTTATTTTTCCTTCACAGAGAAGCAACTGGCACGATAGCTTGTAAGCGCTCGCCCTCTGTCCAGGAGGAGATTGCAGCTGACCATTGTTGGGTTTCATCATCGTCATGAATGCGCTGCCTCGCTGGTGATGGCCTGTCAGAGAATTTTCTTCACCCCATTATCTTTCTGCCTCTCCTCAATGCCCTCCCTTAGCCCTCCTTCCCGCCTCGTCCCTACCTGTAGTGGTTACAGCCTTTAGTACCGTCAAACCCATTCTCTTCACTGTGTCTTGCATGTGTTAGGGCGTATTTACATTCATTTAAATGAGGCGAATGTCAACACTGACTCAACCTTTGCAATAAAAATTCCCTTTAATACTTATCAGCTTTAAAAGCGTAGCAGGTAATATTTTCCTGTTCATATTTATTCTCAAATTCTACCTTTTCCACCCCCCTGCTGCCTCTTTATGTGAGAAACCTCTCCCCTCCAGTGCTGCCCAGTATCATGGTGCTGTTGAGTGGATCTGAGGGCTGCTGAATTCTGGTCTTGCTTGATTAGCCAGTGTGTGATGCTGTAGGCAGCTTTGTTTTGTTGCTGAATGGGCTGTTCCACTGAGAGCACAGGAGACGACGAGGAGCAGAGGAGGAAGGAGGGGATGGCGAGGAGAAGGGTGGAGTGGAAAAAGGAAAAGCAGGAGAATGCTGGAAAAAAAAAGATAAAAGCTAAGGGGGAAGTATATGAAAGCAGAGGTGGGGAGTAGATAAATGAGACTGGAGAAAAGGCTGGAGCAGAAGGGGGAAGAAGAAATGTGGAGAGGAGAGAGAGGACGGTGATGCAGAGGAGAAAAGAAAAAAGGAATGACCTCTCCTCCTGTGGAGAGGGAAGATAACTGTGAGTGTTTAGAAATGCTGAGGTGGACAGAAGCCATATCTTCCACCAACACAGCACCTGCTAGTCTGCCTGCCCCCTCCCATTCATTGACCGACTTTCTATTGTGGGTATTTGTACGCTTTTTTTTCCTTTCCTGCCGGTGGAAGTGTGCGTGTGCGTGCGCGTGTATGTATATGTGTGTGTGTGTGTGTGTGTGTGTGTGTGTGTGTGTGTGTGTAAAGACATTAATATGCATACAGTTAGTATACCATTTTTGTTTCAGCCCATAAGATAGCAGCCTGAGATTTTGTGCTCGAAACATGTTAATACTCAGACACGACAAATCCCCGAATCCCTGCACTGCACCACTTTAATACATGCATGCTTTAATAGCTTTTCTTGTAAAATATGGAAGGAGGTCTGTGCTGTAGCTTCTCCCCCCAGTGTCTGCACTTACATATAGTATCAGACACATTTTCTGTAAACCTGTGGGCCCAGGAGCACAAATGTTTTAGAAGTCAGTGAAGGATTGGATAGTCACAGTGCAGATTCATTTGGTTAGTGAGCTGGGTTTGGCAGGTTTGGGATGGCTAATATTGAGGTTTTTTATTCTTTAATTCCTATCCTATGAATTCAATTTCAGGTCCGTATTTGTGGACTATATAATATTTCACTAGACTCAATGCTGCTAACAACTCACCTTCACCAGGGATGGGAACTGATAAGATTTGGTTGATACCAAAACTATTATTGATTCTGCTTGGATGGATCGGGCAGTTTGGAACCAGTTCTCGATTGGAACCGGTTCTTGATTCCCATCCTTATACTTTCAGCTTTGAATCCTGGGGAACTTTCAAGGTGTAAAGCTTAAAAAGATGTGGTGTTCCTAAAATTTTACTTGGCAGATTCTGACAACTGTCTTTACACTTGCAACTACCGAGCTACCTGCCAGACTGCCCATTAAAAAAAAAAAATCATAAATGGGGTTTCATTAACAAGACAACCTTTAGCCAATAGTAGAGTAGTTTAGTTGTTTTGCCAGCTCACACAATTAACGATAATTAGCCAGAGGCGAGAAAATGGTGACAGTTGTCTTTATAGCCAGTGAAATAGCTGGCTTAACCTTTCACTTGCTACAGCTTGTTAAGAGACGGTTAATTATGTAAGTTATAATAAAAATGGTGGCTCTTGCAATATGAAAACTGCACTCTATTAATTTGTGACTTCAATATAAAATCATTCAACCCTACTATATTATCCCTATTGGTGCCTAGAGGTGACAGTCTTTAGTACCCTTAGTACTGCTTTAAGACACAAATCCTCACCTGCTCTCCCAACCCAGCTCATCCCATCGTCTGTCCGCTGCCCGTCCGATGACTAGACTCTGTGTTCATCTGGGCATAGACAGATGGAGGATGATAAGAGAGAGCCCAGAAAATGTGGATTAGTTTTCCATTTTAGTATGAAAAAGAATGATTTTGTGCTGTCCAGGCCTTTCTTCCAGAGATGTTTTGTGTGTGAGTATGTGTGTAATTCTGTACGCCCGTGCCATTTGTGTATGTTATGTTTTGTGGGAGCAGACTGCGTTGTCGATGAAATAAAGCCCACTGTGAGTGTTGACAGTATTGGCTTGTTAGCACTGATGGGGTGGATGAATGCTGAGCTTGAATGGGAAGGCGGATCTGCAGTGTTTTCGTGTACCGCATGTGTCTGAATTCTGCAAATCTCTCTTGATAAATTCAAGGTTGTACACTAAAATGAAAATATGACAACGATAAGCCCCCTTGAGCTCCTTCTTTACCATCTCTGAGCCTCACTTCCTCTTTCACTGACTTTCTCTTTCTCTCATTCCTCTGT